AAGGACACGCATCTTCTCGGCCTCTGTCGGGCCCTTTGGTTTACTGCGAACCCTCATGGTCTGCGGCGAAACGATGAATGACGTGGAAGCAAATACTGAAGTCCTTTGGTTTCCCGCTCCTTTCCTCGGGCTTCATCTGACCACTTTGATTGGAAGAAAAACCACATTGATCCGAAATTATCCACTTTGGAAACCTTGTTAAAATTTATATTTTTTATCAAAACCACTTTGATTGGAATAAAGTGGCACTTTGATCGGAAAAAGGTGTAGTGAACGTGACCCGGCTTCGCACGGGTGGGGGTGTGTGAGGTGAATTAGTGCAGGTTGGAGTAGGTTGAAGTGGGGTAATCTGGCATTGGCGGTTACCGTACTAATACCTGCAAATCCCCGTAATAGCGTATACAACTTCCCTTCTATTTACCATAAACAACCGTGCACACCCTAAGAACCCCCCTGAAAACCCCGAAGAAAGTACAAAAGTAAATCCCAGGACACCCCGTTGGAGAACATTTAATGCTAATTCCCCGGGGTTACATGCAATCCAGGGGTTTGCGCCAGCAAACCCCTGGATTACCCCTGTAAAAATTGCGCTTGCTGGCCTTGGTCGATTTGCATTTTTTATATGAAGTCTTTATGTGCATTAAAGATTGAAGTATTAAAAGTGGTTAGCTGGAATCTCCAGGAATGACTTTTAATTATTTGATTGTGATATCGAGATTGTATTTACGAAAAAGAATTAAATTTAAGTGCATGCTTGATTAAATATGGAACGTCCTAATCGATTTGCCACTTTAACACAACTTAGTTGACGTGACAGACTGCAATGACTGTGGAATTTTGCATGTGCATACAAACATCAAGTCATGACGTGGCTGGCTGTGATCTCCCGGTCTCGTTTCGAATTACCACTGCATATTTTTTTGAATGGAAAATTGTCAAGTCGTGATGTAGCTGACTGTGATCTCCTGGTCTTGATTCGAATTGCCACTTATCATGGAAGTTTGTGTACCTGTTCAAAAGTCAAGTCAAGATGTGACTGGCTGTGATGTCCTGATTCGAATTGCCAGATTTCGTTTTTTAGTATGGAAATATGTATGCACATACAAAAGTCAAGTCATGATGTGACTGGCTGTGATGTCCTGATTCGAACTGCCAGATTTCGTT